GTGTGTGTGTGTGTGTGTGTGTGTGTGTGTGTGTGTGTGTGTGTGTGTGTGGGAGGAATTTAAATGCTCTCCCTACTGTCTTTGGTTATTAAGGACTACATACTGAGACACAAATATCTAAAACTGACATGTGTACAGTATGTGTGAGATCTGTTTATGCATCACCTCAGTGTTGGCATTGCTAAGAGGTACTCTAATAACATACTCGACTTCACATTCAGGTGCACTGAATAAGATTTCATCATCTGTTCAGAGACTCTAGTTGTATGTAAATGATGACTGTCAGGCAGCTGAACAGTAATAAGTGTTGATAACAGTGTAACCTCCAGCTACTAATGCACACTCAATGCACAACAAAGATTTACTATCTACACTGGAAAAATGTCTCAGGTCAAAGGCTGAAGTCACTTTCAAGTTCTAATAGAATGAGAAGAATAGAAAAGATTATTATTGTCACTATACACATGTACAATGCGATTTAGAGCATCTTCTACCCAGGCAGCCGTGTTAAAGCATGAGATGGAAAAGAACATTATTAACATGAAACCTATAAAGTAGCTTATTCGGATACTTTATACTATGATTTATAAATAAGGATGACTCCCACTCTAAATATACAGTAAATACTGTAGAGGATCATTTATTCACACTTATATAGAAGTAATTAAAAAGTGGGAGTAAATTTGCACCATTAGAAAGTCTATGATGGAGGGAGGCCTTTAAAGACAAACTGCTGCACCATCTTCATTTGCCTAAAAATGTGAAGAAATACAAAAAATAAATATAAAATCTGAACATTTTACATAATTATCTATGCCATGCTTGCTACTGAGTAAATGTAAGTCTGTGCTGGGCAACTTACAAGAATTAGATCAAATATATTTATGTATGTTATAACCCTGATAACTACTTAGTCTGATCAAATGAAGCATCAGTGTGACGACGTCTTATTTAGCCTCAGATATTACAGCTGCTTCTGGAGATTCTCTTCAGCCGTGGAAAGCTTTCTCTTTCTTTTCTCCTGCAAATGCACTCACTACTATGATTTTCCATTGATTTTAATTAAGACTTGCTCAGCAGGAGAAAATTCCAGCCAGATTACTGTGTAAGAACCGGATGATCAGCACATTTTTCCAGCCGAACAGATAAAGCCTGCTGCAGTGAAAAAGGAGTTACACAACCGCTTCTTAATGTTCGCAAATACAAAGCAAACAGCAGCGCATCAGAGAAAACGGAGTGGCTCCAAAATACATAGATTAATGTGCTCCGTGCTGCTGCAGTCTGTATTTTTTGCTGTCATCTTGGGAGAGCTGAAGCTGCACTTAAATCTCCACCGCTGCCATGAATATCGCATTATTTAATGAGCATCATTTAAAAAGCCTCTTCAACCTGGTAAATCGTATTTTTGAGAATGAACTGATGATTTTTTTTTTTATTTAAATGCAAATTGTCAAACTATCTCCCTATTTTGGGGATTTTTATACCACATCACCAAAGAAACAACTGAATAAGAGGTATGCACTAGAAGGGAGAGAAAAAAAGAAGACAGGGTTGCACATGCTTCCTGCTTTCATTTGTTTGAGCTTTGTGGATGTCGGAGTCAATTTGTCCTAAGGTTGTAGACATCTCTCTAGGCTGTAAGGCCAATTGCTGCTATAAATTCTAGAGAAGGATAGAAATGAAATAGCACAGAACAGGTTTATGGAATAATAAAGATAGTCCACTGGTGATCGTTAGCATCAATATCCCCTGAAATCATTTTCATTTTAAACCTTCACACCATAATTCTGCATCAACTGCATTTATTCAGCTCTGCGTTTTCGCACATTTTCTGATTGGGCCATGTCTCTGCTGTGCAGTTGAAGTAAAAGTGGAACTCTCTCTCCTGGATAAAGAAAAAGAGGTGGACGGGTTGTCGCCTAATGGCAAAGCGAGCCCCTTTGCTGAATGCAGACCTAACGGGGCCCTGGCTCACGGCTCTGACGATGACTCCACCCTGCTCCCTCTCTACCACAAACCCCGGGACTATGTGGAGGCCTCTGTGTGCCACGTTAAAGATCTGGAAAATGGACAGTAAGAACGTGATCACGCAGCTTTTTTTTATTCACTTACCTGTTGATGCACATTTTAAATATGATAAAATACTGAAGGAAAGTAAAGCTTGGGAAGTATTGAATTAAGTAAGACTGTCTTAAATTGTGAGATCAGGATTGTGTTTCCTTTTCCGTTAAGATAAGGCGAAATTTCATTTCCCAGCGTTAATGGTAGTTAAGAACTAAATTGTGAGGACGTTTGGAGGTCACCCAGAATGAATGAATTCTTTGTTTTTAGTGTTTTTAGGTGACCTGCATAGTTGTAGCACAAATACAGTGCCTCCTGTTTAAAGTGCAGAAATTGTTTGTTAGAAGCATCCATGACCAAACACATGCAGTTATAGCCATACACACTGGGATAGTGTTGTAGTTTTGTACATGAAACAATGAGTTTTAAATCAATTAATCAAAATTTGGCTGAAGTGCAGACTTTCTGCTTTAACTCAAACTTTAACAGAAGTACTGAATTAACTGTTTAGGAATTAAAGACATCTATTATACATAGTGTCTGATTTTCAGAAGCTCAAAAATAGGTTGGACACTTGAGTGACAAGCAGTTTAATAACTAGGTGAGGCCAGTTCCCACGTAATTTAATGAAAAACTGAGCAGATGAAAGATCTGGACTTGATTCCCAGAACTTGATGATAGTGGTGATAGTTCACCAGGACTGACTATATGAAGTCCAAAGAGATGTCACTCTGTCTCTAAAAGATGATCTTTTTACACTCAATCATGTTACTGACCTGTTACCAGTTAACCTAGTTACCTACAAAATGTTCCTCCAGCTGTATCTATTAAGTACCCCTTACTTTTCCAGCCTTTTGTTTCCCCCATCACAACTTCTATATTTTACTGTGAATAAAATCTCATAAAATATCAATTTATGCGAATTGCACATTATTGTGCTTTATTTCTATGTTTACATTTTATACAGTGTCCCAATGTTTTTGGCGTTGAGGTTGTAAAATCCTTTCAAAGTAAAGTTTACACATCAATCACATCATCAATCACATCTTAGCTGTTTGAGTTGAAATCCACTGCAGTGGTGCACAGAGGCAAAATTACAGAAAGCGTGTCATTGTCCAGTTACTCTGGATCTGACTATCATTTTATTTTGTGTGCTTGACAGAATGCGAGAGGTTGATTTGGGAAGCGGCAGGGCTCTGTTGATTAAAGAACATGGGGAGTTCACAGCCATGGGCCACAAGTGTCCACACTATGGAGCACCTCTGGTTAAAGGTGAGATATATATTTTTAGTTATGGAGTGACGGGGCGAGTTCGATGTCTGCACATAGTGTTCCACAGTGGATGAGAAGGCTGTTTCCCTGCACCCTCAGGTGGGGGAATAGGTCCTGACCATCGTTTGTGCTGAATGACAATCAAGTGTACTGATCTTTCTTGAAGTTACTTGGCGCGGTGCTTAAAAGTGTTCTGCTGAAGGACTTTAATACTCATATTGGCAACGACAGTGTGACCAGGAGGGGTATGACTGGGAGGGGCAGCCTGACAGATCTGAACCTGAGTGGTGCTGTGTTACTAAACTTATGTGCTAACCACAGTTTGTCCATAACAAACACAATGTTTGAGCATGAGAATGTCAGTAAGTATAATGAACCCCAGGACACTCTATGATGATAGATTTCGTGATTGTTTGCTCAACCAGTCTATGTGTTTTTTCCTGTGGGCAATGCTTTGAGGGTAGGGAGTAACTAAGGGCCATTCAGTTCCTGTATAACCACAGCAAGAGCTTGGTTCACATTGCCAGTAGTAAACCTGTTACCAGTAAAAGCTGGACTCAAAGACCAGGACTGTTCTTTGTCAGTGATTCTGTTCATGACTTTTATGGATTTTCTAGGTGTAGACTAGTGATGGAGGGTTTCTGATTTAGTGGCCTCAGGATGAAATCTCTGGTCCTTGCAGATATTGTGATTCTTCTGTCCTCATCAGGCAGTGACAGTTGAGTGTGAAGTGGATGAGATGTCTGGATGTCGCTGCTTAGACTGCTAAACAAAATGTATGGATGGGCCATATGCTGTTATTTCAGGTGTGCTGTCCAAAGGACATGTGCGTTGTCCCTGGCATGGTGCATGTTTCAACATTGCAACAGGAGACATTGAGGACTTCCCTGGACTGGACAGCCTGCCCATCTTTCAGGTGACCTTCCACACTGGTGCTACCTCTTAACACATTTCCTGCCTAATCATCTTTTTAATGATCATCAAAAAGTGTACACATCACATAATTCTGTTTGCAGGTCAGAGTTGAAAAGGACAAGGTGATCATTCGGGCAAACAAGCAGGTAACACGAAGAAGAAGATGAAGAGTTCATGCAGGAAAGTCAGCTGACCACCTGATTGACCTAGGATCTTTCTTTAATGATTTTCAGGCTCTTCAGTCACAGAAAAGGTCAAAGCCCATGGCCCGATGTTCAGCAGTCATTAACTCCAACACAGGATTCAGCCATGTTCTCATTATTGGCTCAGGTTAGTGTGTGTGTGTGTATATCCTCTTTATTGTTTTATGTCTCACAGCTGACCCTAAATAACTCCATCTTTCTTTGAGTTTCTTCTTTGCAATGTTATGTGCATCTGTTTTGGTTAACTTACTGGCAGGTCCAGCCGGTTTGGTGTGTGCAGAAACACTGAGGGAAGAGGGCTTCACGGATCGCATTGTCATGTGCACTATGGACAAACATCCTCCATATGACAGGCCTAAACTGAGTAAGGTTTGTACACAGACCCTGAACACATACAATGAGATAGACCTCACTTAGCCACCAAAGTTACATAACAGACTGCAGAGGTGCTGCTGTGGTCAGCGCTGCTAAAACAATTCTTTGAGGAAAAGCTACACACTTCAGAACAACCAACAAAGCAAAGGAAAATGGCTTGTACATAAAAAATATATATAAATAATTCATAATTCCAAATATGACTAAGATTTTGAGTCATATCTGGTGTAAGAACACACTTTAAAGGCTGCCAAGTCAAAAAAGAGACTGCCTATTACTTCTGTGACTAGAATGACTGCAGGATCTGTTGTGTTTTTACAACAGGCTGAATATGATTAATTGTGACTTTGCAGTTTTGAGCAATAGCGTGGGAATGAAAGGGTTAAATGACATTTCTAGACTTTGTTCCAACTGTTTCCTTTGCTCAGTGCTAACTTGCTACCCCTCAGTCCTTAGAGAGCACGGCAGAGCAGCTGAGACTGCGCTCCATGGACTTCTTGCAAGATCATGACATTGAACTTCTCAAAGAGAAAGAGGTGATTAATATTTAAATGTTTAATTAATCATTCATTAATGTTTAATGATATGTATATATCTGTTTTTTGTTAGGATTGTTTTTAAAAAAAGAAACTGAAGGAAAACTTCAATTTACACCTTCATTGTTTTTGTTTTGTGTTTTTTTAGGTGGTGGCAATAGATGTGAAAACACAATCTGTGATATTTGAAGATGGCCTGAGGATGGAGTACAGGAAACTCTTTATTGCTACAGGAAGCAAGTAAGCAAAAAATATTCTTTTCTCGTGATGCCAAAGAGCTGAGAATGTAAATGAGTAAACTGACACCCGATTGTGCTCCTGTTCCTGCTTGAAAGACCAAAACCAATGAACTACACGGGCAAAGATGTCAGGAATGTGTTTCACCTCAGGACGCCCGAGGATGCTAACAGCATAGCGAGGCTAGCCAACAACAAGAATGCAGTGATTGTGGGAACGTCATTTGTGGGTGAGACAAAGACACATTTATAAACATATTGTTTTCATAACATTTAAATTCGCAAAAAAAGATTTTCTCAGAAAAGAAAAGTATCAGATATTCAAATTTTTATCTTTTATTTAACAGATAAAACGAATATATTGATACACTGTACAGTTTTTAAACATTATATTATATTTTTTCATTTATTGTTTTATTTATATATTAATTAATTCAGACATTATATATTTCTTTATATATTAACTACTATTCATTGCTCATGTTTTTTTCACAGTACAGCTTTGCATATAAAAAAATTGTCCACTCATTTCCAAAGGTGTTAACTCTTACTGTATTACTGTTTTGTGTCATCCTGCATTAACTAGTGTGTATGTTAAGTGCTGTTTATTCATTATGACGGCAGGTATGGAGGTGGCTGCAGCTCTGACTGACAAGGCCCACTCAGTCTCTGTCATCGGGATCGAGTCGGTCCCTTTTAAAAAAGCTCTCGGGGAGAAAGTAGGGAAAGCCATAATGAAGGTAGAGACGCCCTCCTGGGAAATCAAGCTTTTCAGAACATGAAGCACTTTCACAATTCTATCATCAGCATTCTCCCTGAGAGGAAACTATTAGTTAAAATGCAAATCATGTTTCGCAGGTCAATACTGCGCCACAAATGGGAGTGTAAATCTTCTCATTAGCGGCGATTGATCATGCAGACACATGAAAATTCAGCGGTGAACTTTTTCTCTCTCTGTTTTCGAGTATTCACTAGAACCGTTTTGTCTTCGCAGCTGTTTGAGGCAAACAGGGTGAAATTCTACATGCTGAACGAGGTGTCAGAGATGGTTGGCCATCATGGACAGGTATTCAGAAAGTGAGAGAAACAGCACAATGCTCGGACGCACTATTGTCTCTTGTTTGATAACGTGGCAAAACTCAGATAAGGAGATAGACATTGTGTCCACTGAACTTGGGATATTGAAGATTGCATCCATCTCTTGGGGGAAATGATCTAAATAACTTTGAGAGACGCCGTGACTTTACATGTATAATCCCATTTCTCAGTAAAAAAACTAACTGAATAAAAAGACCAGTTTTTATATTAACATTTATTTTGCGTGAGGGTTGTTAATGTATCAATAGATACACTAGCACATAACTGCAAGCTGTTTTTTCTCTGTTACAGTTGAAAGAGGTTGTACTGAAGAGTGGAAAAGTCCTGCGGGCAGATGTGTGTGTCATTGGAGCAGGTGATATGAAACATAATACAGAATATGTCCTTATTGTCTGTCATTAATTATCTAAAAATTACTTTGGTGACATTAAAAGTGTGTTTTTGCACTCTTGCTCTGCTCTCCTGCAGGAAGCGTTCCTGCAACAGGGTTCCTGAAACAGAGCGGCATCCACTTAGACTCCAAGGGCTTCATTATTGTAAACAAGGTGCTGTGCAGAGCCTGGAGCCTCACTTAAACTCTTTGACTCCCATTTCGTTAAATTCTTCCATCTTTCTTCCAGAATATGCAGACAAATGTTGATGGGGTCTTTGCTGGAGGAGATGTGGTGATGTTTCCTTTCCAACCACGCAACAACAAGAAGGTGAACATCCCTCACTGGCAAATGGCTCATGTCCACGGTGAGTTTGTTGTAGCATGTTCTTGACTGCATTCATACTCCATAACTAAGGCTTTTATAACTCAACTATGTCAATGTTTGCGGTTTCCACTGGCACTAACAGGAAAGGTAGCAGCTCTTAGCATGATGGGCAGAGCCACTGAGGTCAAAACCGTGCCTTACTTCTGGTCAGCCATGTTTGGGAAGACCATACGCTATGCAGGTAGGCGGGCCTTCCAACCATCTTTAGTGTTTGCTTTAGCCTGAAAATTTGTGTTAAGAGGAAGACTGACTGTGGAAAAAAAGATCAGAGACTGAGAGGAAATGCGTGTGCCCTGAAATGTTGGTACTACACTGCCATCTAGCTGAACAAAAATGAAGCCCGTGGCCAAGAATTAGGCCTGAGTCGGATTATTTGTTTCTATTTCTGGAGGTTACGGTGACGGATTTGATGATGTCATTATACAAGGAGATCTGGATGAACTGCGCTTTGTAGCATTTTATACAAGGTAAGATTTCTAGAATTTTTCTGATATCTTAGTACGCTTGTGTGTTGTTGTTCTTTAACTATTGTGAACTAATATTTATCTTTTATTGTGAAGGTACCTTCTCATTGTTTCCTCCTCTGGTCCATCTATAGGAGTGAGGAGGTGGTTTCTGTCGCCAGCATGAACTATGATCCCATTGTATCCCGAGTGGCAGAGGTCCTAGGATCCGGAAAGACGATTAAGAAGCGAGATGTAGAGTAAGTGTCCTTCCGGACCAGAATCTGGTCGTGGTTACAATAATAGTTTTGGTGTCTAAGGTTTATGTTAAAGAAATACCTGACAAATGTTTTCAATCTGACAGAAACCACAGTGAGAGATGGAGTTTATAATCATACGAAGTTTTCTGTGAGCCAAATAAATTGTTTTATTTGAACACACTACAGAGCAATTATATATTTAGATATTTTACATGATTTATTGATATTTTAAAACTGTATTTTAAGAATTACACATTTTCCCCACTAACTATATACACTCTTTTGACAATTAGTTAAACCCTGCTGGCACCAGGTTGAATCTCTCGTTCCACCACATCCCAGTGGTACCCAGTTGGTAGTAAGGAGCTCAAAGTGTGCCAAGAAAATATCCCCCACAGCATTACAGCACCCCTACCAGCCTGGACCGTTGATACAAGGCAGGATGCATCCATGTGTTCATGTTCTTTATGCCAAATTCTGGCCCTGCCATTTTAATGTTGCAGCAGAAATTGAGACTCATCAGACCAGGCAAAGTTCTTTCATTCTTCTATTGCTCAATTTTGGTGAATATTGTGTCTCAGGTGAGCATGAATTGTAGTCTCAATTTCCTGTTTGTAGCTGACAGGAGTGGCACCGTATGTGGTCTTCTGCTACTGTAGGCCATCTGCTCCAAGGTTTAATGTGTTGTGCATTCATTCATGCTCTACTGCATACCTTGGTTGAAATAAGGGGTTATTTGAGTCACTGTTCCCTCTCTGTTAACTCGAAGCAGTCTGGTCATTTTCCTCTGTCCTCTGGATGTTTTTTGTGTAAACTCTAGAGATGGTTGTTTGGGAAAATCCCAGCAGATCAGCAGTTTCTGAAATACACCAGCCCATCTGGCATCATCTTGTCTCCATGCCTAAATGCGTTATGTTGTTGAGATGTGATTGGCTGTTTAGGCATTTGTGTAACAAGCAGTTGAACAGGTGTACCTAACAAACTATTCATTGACTGTATAGCAAATACACTGAGTACATTTGCATTTTAAGAAAGAACCAGCATAGTTATGAAGTATTTAAATAGTTTAAGCAGTTGTAATTTCCATGTTTCACTTTAACCACCAATAATATTATTGATATATAATATTATACTACTATTATGCCTTTAACTGTATATAAATTCTAAAAAGAATTAATTGCTTGTGATGCTCTTTGTTATGAGTAAACATTAACAGTAATATAATATTAAGTAAAACTAGAAAAAGACCAAACAACTAGAATTTGTTTAAAAGGGCTGCTAGAAAAACCCAACTTCTCTCAATAAAGAACAGGGCAGCACATTAAAGTGGGGATGTTTGTTTATAAAGCATAGCAGCATGTTTGGTGAAAACCAAACAATGCACATAAGCACAAACACATCATAACAACTATTTGCACAGTTTTGGAGGGGTGATGAAAAAATCAGATAGTCACACAGACAATGATTACTTCAAGTTACTGCTGCTAAAGGTGTTCAACAAACTACTGAATCACGGGGTGTGCTTGGAGTTTCACAGGATTGCAGAAAGTCCTGTGAAAACTTTTTTTTTCATGACTGTGCAGCTATAGGATTAAAAACTGTGATGGTAACACAAAGCTTTAATCACAATTAATACTATGAAATTACACACACTGGTTAAGGAGCCTCTGTGAGAGGGTTTACAAATCAGTTTCTTGACTATTATTAGGAACTGCTGGATCTGTTAAACGGTTAAAACCGTACCGTAATGATGTTGCTGGAATCCTGTGTCCACTTTTTCCTTGTTTTTGTGACCATACTGTTGTTGTGTCTTCTGTTTCTAATAATGCTTGCAAAAAACCTGAAGGATGTTAACACGACTTGGCAAGTATGGAAAAATATCTGCTTTTTCTCCTTTCTGCTTCACGCATTAACAGCCACTCACAGGGAGCTGTAATTTATCAACTAACGTGTGATTTTGTTGGCATGTTTTTGTTTGTATGTAATGGGATTTTATGTGTGTGTGTTTTAGGACTGGAGACATTTCTTGGTTGATTGACAAAGGCTCTCAATGACTTCCCATCTGAAGTTCCCAGTCCCTTTGGACACCTCCATATGGACACTCATGGTGCTGAGACACTGAGCAGCTATCACAGTCTATTCACAACACACACAAACCTGCTGATATGACTGTCTGTTTGGGACATGCTTACCTGAGGACATCACTTTTTCTCCTAAGAGATACTTTAAAATAACAAAAGGAGCCACGCACGACCTGAAAACACTGAGCGACTGTGTCGGCAGGTCTTTTATTATCGATGTTGTCTTGTTTCACAACGAAGCAATACCGGTATCAGCCTCTGTGCTGCTGCAAGATGTATCTACCTGTACACTTTGTTTATAAGAAGCCAGGGAAGGGCAATGAGTTTTTTTTGTACAGATAATATTGTAAATAGTTATAATCCTGAATGCACTGTAACAAAATAAGAGCATACATTTTCCAGTGAATGACAGACGTGGTCGTATGCTTGCATACAGGCCGTAGATCTGCATGGTATAACTTGCTATAACAGGAGTTAAATTAAGCCCCAAATAGTAAAAAAAAAATTTAATGTAGACACATGAGCAAAGCTTAAATCTGCAATAAAAACAAACTGTGTTACCACTTCAGCACAAGCCTGAATGCAGCTTTTAACCTACTTACCAACTCTCACTCGCAGCGTTAATTTGTGATTTATTATAATGGTTAGACTCACAGCTTACCTCTCTGTTATGGTTGCCTTGCTAGTAGAGTGCACAAATGGAATTCTTATTCTTTGATCACATACTAGTGCTTGCACTGTAGATTCGTGTATTTTCTAACAAGTAGGTATAACCCCTCGGAAATGAATAGTGAGCAATAGTAGCTTAAGGTTATTTTGCATAGCCGTCACCCCTGTAGAGACGTTGTTTGTTACTAACTCAGGGAACTGAGGATTGTGGCCTGGGTTTGCCGGTCCCTCTGCAAGCAGAAAAATTGAATTTGTTGCTTAAATATTTCCTCACAGTTACTGCAGTTTCAGTGGTTCAGAGCTTGCAATGCGCTTCATGATAGAAAGCAGATATTTGATTGCATCCTGGAGTGCCGCAGATCCCGAAACACTTGAGCTCTGACACACACGTCAACAAAGCGATTAAAAAGGCATTGTTCTCCCTGCAGAGATGTCTGGAATGGCATTTTTATAACTAAACTTTGAAATAAAAGTCTTCCAACAATAACTGCTTTATGTTACATTTTATTTTTCATGTTATTCTACTTGTTATTTGCATGTCTGTTCTTGACTGTATTAACTGGAAAAAAAAAAAAGTGTAACAGGTTTAAAAAAATGTTTAATGATTTCCAAAGAGGTGACAGAGCGTAGTTTTTGCATGTTTTTCTTGACAGATTTCATTCTTTGATTCATGGTTATTAAAAATATAGATGAAATCACTTGAGTCTAGATTTCATGCAGTAGCACAAACATTTCACAGAATTTATAAATGAAGTTTCACAACTATATATATAAAAAATCTGAATTGTGAGCCATCTAACATTAAAAAACAAACAAACTGGGAGTGTCCACAACTATATTGCAAATAGCCTGGAGGCTTGGATAAAAGTAAGGATGCACCGATCCAACTTCTCTATTCTGATAAAAATTCTGAAATGTCAACTCAGTGCTTTTGCCACCAACTCTTTCAGTGCATCATGTATTATGAAGCAAGATTTCATCTTAGCCAGGTAACTTCAAGTTTAGGCCTGGGTTTTGTGCATTACAAAGGCAGTTCACATCTTTCTGGGATATATAACCATAGAAACTTATGCCAGACAGCTAATCTGCTCTGGAGCAGAAAATAGTATCACCATTCCTGGAAGAGTAAGTTTTTCTGTCATTAGCATCAATAAGGAATATAGATATAGACTCCTTCATATAGGATGGTAAAACAGGGCACATATTTGTGCATGTGGACCTCATTTGCAGCTAAGTTAGATCTATATTTGACCTGTTTTTCATATTTTTTCTGCAGCTGAAAGAGTAAGGCAACAATTGCCTCACACGCATCTCATCCACAATTTACTGTGGCTGTTTATTCGCAATAGAGCTGTAATACTAGTATGTCTGTTGACTTACACAGTCAGCATTTATACCAACTTTCCTTTCTGGCTTTCAATCGGCTAGGCTTTATTAATGTAGTAGTGCTTTTCCAGTCTTACTGACCAAAATTCTTCACAAAGTGCCTTTTAATAATATAATCTTTCTATTACGTACACACACTCTGCTTTCAGCCAGTGTTGTGTGTGTTTGACTGCTTCATATTGTTCTAATATTATAGTTTTACCTCCCATTGTAAAATCAGCCTATAAAACGGACAGATCTGCTGTTACAGATTGATCAGATGCAGTTCATGTAAACACATTCGTAGCCATGTAGAAAAATTGTGAGTTAACTTATCGAGCTGATAACCATCTTCATGTGAACGATTAACCTGCTCGCTAATGTTAGAGGTTTATTTATATCAGTCACTGCAATTAAAAAAAAGAAAACCTCAAAAGCAGCTCTAATGGTAATGTAGAGCATTGGATCAGTGCATCTCTAAGAAAAAGCACCTCACATGTTGACATCTGTCAACACTGATAAATACATCTACAAACAGTGTGGTGAAGGCAGTATATGGTGTCACTAGTTACATCTATCAATAACGGACCGGCAGGATTCAGTGCTTATTAACACAAGTAAGAGGTACCTGACAGCGCACTGTACTATGGTGTCCCTGAGGTGCAAAACACAACAAAAACTACAACAAGAACTGAATGAAACTTCAAACAAACAAACAAAAAACATTACAAAAAAAAATAAAACTCACCTTTCTCAGAAGCGTTGGGGCAACATTTTTTATTGTGACTGGACAAAATCAAGTTCGCCGGCTACAGTCGGGAGGGATTTCCAGCTTCTTTGCTACTTTTATATAAAAACCTTACTTGAAAGCCCTGAGGCCCACTTAAAAGAAATATGGTCAAAGAGATGAGGTTGTGTTATGCTGAGAGCTACAATCCCCACCATGGGACCATTCGCAGCTAAAGCAGATCCTCAGCAAGGATTTCTAGGTGGCATTTTTATAGCCTCTATTTGATAGAAGAGTAGAGAGCGGACAGGAACGTAAGGCGGGAACAAAAGGCCAATCCAGCCTTTTGACTGGATCATGTAAATCATTACAATGGTGGCACAAGGCCAAAATATACAATATCCTCTGTTGGTTTGAACAATGGGAATATTGTGTTTCTACAGGGGGTAGGGCAAACATGCTCGTATAATGATAGAGTCAACCTGTTCCCAGGAACTTGAATTTTATCCGGTCACAAACAAGAAATGTTGTCACCAACTTTCCCGTCAAATGTTTCTTTTTGCTGCTGTGTGTGGCACCTCTAGGCCACCGTACTGTGCTGTACTTAAAGTCTGTGGAACATCTAACAATGATTACACGACAACGATTTATATATAAAAATACGTGATTGGCTCTTTGGAAGCAAGAGAAGGATTCAACGCAATAAACATGTTTTTATCAGATGTCCAACTATAATGCCCAGGCTTTAATCACAGCATTGGTTATTGTAGCTATTGCTTAAAACACATTCTGGTAACACTGCGCTCAGGACAGTGTAGTGTGATATAAAGACCGATCACATGACAACAATGAGAACTAACTTTATAGAGGACACCGTGAAAATGTGTTTGCTGGTAAAGGCAGCCCCAAGTTCAAAATTTGTAATTTGTAAACATTTCATATTTTTCTCGCAATAATTACCCATAGACTATGAAAAAAAAAAAAAATCCAGTCACAGTCTGACTTTCATTAAACGACTACAATCATAGCTTCTCCAATAATTAGTAATAAAGGCACTTTTTAAATCAGCTGCTGAGATGATAATTGCTGGCAGTGATCTCGGCTGATTTAGAGCTTACACCTGCGAGCTTACAGGTACTGGTGCAAAGTGTCTTCAGCTTACCCAGGGTCAGAGGTCATATTCTGCTGCACACTGCTGGAGGTACCATTCATATAATTTACTCTGTGGAAAAAAAGTTACCTGTGTGAGATTCACAATCCTGATGTTTAATAAATTGACAACACGCATGAACTGATTTTCTTTTCTTTTTGGGCCGAGCGAGGGAAGCTAAACTAGCTGAAAACACAACACTGACATAGTTTACTACCTTATGAAGCATTCTAGTTTTTAGTTAGCAGTCAGCTCACTTAAAAAAAACCCGATCAACACTAAAAAGCTCCATAAAATGAAGGGAAGCAGCAGAGTTGGCAGTAATTTCCTTTATACCAATAACAAATCAATAAAATACTTAATTACTGTGGCCTTTAGATTTGCACAATCCAAATGAAAAAAACAACTTAGTTAAGAGAGCATAAGGACACAAAATGTACATCTAACCTTCTTAGTCTTGACGATATCTTGGATGTAATCATTGTACTCTGCCATCGTCCTCTTCTCCTTCTTCGTCAGAGTCTTATTCCTCCGGCTGAGAATGAAGAACATGACAGCATTAAAATACTCGTGTTTGTAATTGCATGTACAGTCTACACCTGTTCAACTGCTCATTACACAAAACTAACCAGCCAATTAAATGGCAGGAACTTAATGCATTTAGACATGTAGACAAGGTCAAGTTGATATTAAAATGAAAAAGTTCAAACCAAGCATCAGAAGGGGGAAGAAATGTGATTTATATGTTTGAGCGTATCATACAGGCCGGTTCTCAGGCCTAGTTCTTTAAAGGGTTAAAGGAGTCTTTTTAATGTCTTGATACGACATAAGGCCCTTGCGATCTTATAATGATCTTATTCAACCATCAAGAGCATTCAAAAGGACAGAAAAATAGAAAAACCGTTTGCAGAAAACTACAAAGAAATTGAAAATTTGAATGAACCAGTCCCTGTTTCGTTTACTGCTTGATCGAGTGACATTGAACGCACACATGAACTGTGGTTGGTGCCAGTCAGGCTGGTCTGAATATTTCAAACTGCTAATCTACTGGGATTTTCCCACAAAACTATATCTAAGGTTTACAGAGAATGGTCAGAAAAGGAGGAAATATCCAGTGGGTGAATATGCCTCGTTGATGTCATAAATCAGACGAGAATGACCAAAAAGGAAGGTAACAGTGACTCAAATGACCAGTCATTACAACCAAGGTGAGCAAAAGAGCATCTCTAAATGCTCTCTAACCCATCTGCTTTTAACATTACAGGAGCAGAAGACCACACCAGGTACCATTCTTGTTGGCTAAGAACCAAAAACTGATGCTGCAATTCAGGGTGTGAAAATGATCACTACTGATCAGATCACTATCTGTTTGGGATGTGGCGGAACGGGAGAGTTGCATCATTAACGTGCAGCTGACGAATCTGCAGCAACTGTGTGATGCTGTCATGTCAATATGAACAAAATCGATCTGTTTAATTAATCTCTACGAGTTAAATTGCATTTTGCCACACTTACCCTGCAAAATACTTTGCCAGGAAAAGCAGGAGGTAGCAAAAAGCCCCAAAAATGATGACAAAGACTACTTGCCCATCTTCAGGTATCCAGTCCCATAAATACATCACTATTCCCTTTCAGACACACAGTAATAGACAGTCAGAGAGCTCAGGACACTATGTTAAGTCACTAATGAAGTAATTAATGAAATATTATGAAACTGATATTCATTCAGAGCACTTACTGTGAAGATAGTGATGGTTCGAGTTGCACCTTCACCCAACAGCTCCTCCAGCTGCTCTTTGGATAAGGTGCTCACAATAAAACTGAGGATGAAGAGTAAAGGCAGGAAAACACCCAAAGCACCGCACAGGAATGAATGAAGACGGATGCTTTTGTTGCAAGCCACATCAGCCCTGTGTACACAACCATAACAATAATGTGCTATCATACATTTTCCACAACTGATAGTATCTGGTGATGCTTATCTGCTCAGTGTACACATAATATGTTTTATCAAGGCTGCAAGAGGTCATACCTGTCCTGCTCTAGTCTGCTGCTGATAGTGGAACAAATAAGGTCAGAATCTTTCTCCAGCTGATTCAGTGTCTTCTGAACAGCCTGGTTAATGGTCTTCTCGATGGTCTGACAAACGCCATCGATCTGGTTCACACACCTGCTCGGCTACATGAGACAAACAGCTCGTAAACACGTCAGATTTGGACTGAACATGAAACACACTCTGCACATCTCAATAAAGGATGGTCTGGAAAGTTCCATGACAAATCCTGAGGGCATTCTGACTGACAGCCTTGTGGACTTGGCAGAAAGTGAAGCTGCACTCGCTCAGCAGAAATGAAGCGGAGGTCTTGAGGGATGCACAAATCTACCACGCACGCTTCGTGGTTGTAGATCATAAGATGGTGCAGCGATAACTGCACTGCCGTGGTTTATAATATTTGCACAACCAGAAGTAATTTTTATACAAACACAGCAGTTTAAAGTAACCAACACAGATCATTTTACCTTCTGTGGGTTCGGGATGTATATTGTTGGCATCTCAAAGCCACATTTGTTAAGACCTGGACGGCGGCACAGTTCTTGGACTATCTGCATCATCACTCTCTGATGAGAAAAAAAAAAGTTCATCTCACAGGTTCAACTTTCTTTGAAACAAAAATAAATTATACAAATCAGGTAAACTGACCTGTCTGTCTGTCTCCTTCCCAGCTTCATCTGCCTTGCTGAGGTAGAACAACAGCTTGTCTGCGCATTTTTGGCTCAGCTTCTCCACAATGTTGAGCGTGCGTTTGCAAAGCGCTTGGCCCATCGGGTCAAAGAACACAAATATCAGGTCTGCCTGTTCTCCTGCTCAGAGAAAAAAAGCATTTATTACATTCCTGCAGCTGTACATCAGCTGTACAGTAGACACAAAGGAGAAGAAGAAGAAGACAGATCACCACTGAAGAGACAAGTTTAAGCTAAAGGACACACCCAACCAAGTGATGGCGCTATTCACATCAAAAGGGTAGATCATGTCCCCGTCCACCAAACCCGGAGTGTCCACGAAAGTCACCAGGCTGAATTTCTTCTGCTTGGAGGTGGAGATCTCAGCAGATAGGTAGTCAGTAACACCTGGAAAACAGAGATGGCGTGCATGTGCAAAAAGATAAAGACACAGTAACTAAGGTAACGAGTTCAGTCCATGCAGGAAAATGTCGCCTCTAATGGCTATAATATTGTGTGCTACAGGAAGCCGCAGTGCGGTCAATACTTGGAAGCCTGAGGGAGATCAGCAACAAGATCTCAAGGCAACTTTTATGCTAAGAGCTTTGCATTTTGGGGACGGCAGCTATAATTTAACTCCAAAACGATCGTATTCTTCACAGACACAGCTGTGCACGTGTGAAAAGATACGTTCACGTCCTGTGACGATGATACAGCAGCCGCACCCTCGCACATGAAACTTTATTTCTGTTTTTCTAATCATGAAAATATTAACGAGGCCTCTGTTTCCTCACTGCCCTCTGTGGAGAGCTTTGTTGTCATGGTTACACACAACAGCTCTTCAACTGGCAGCTTTAGTGTGGGGCGTGGGACATAAAGCTAGCCAGTGAAGAACGACTGTGAGGCAACGCACTGAGAGGTTACGATAATCCACCACAACCACCACACATAAGAACACCCCCCCCTCCCCTTAAATAGAACAGGATCACTATTGAGATGCATCCCTACTAGTGACAAAGTAACCCCTCCCACGCCGACCCACACTCACACACACACACCAGGGAGGCCTGGGATGACACTGAGGCCGTTTCATGCAAAGAGGCAGGTGTCAACAGCCAGCACAAATCGCATCCTTGTGCTGCAGTGAGCAGAGCCACTGCTCCTCTGGCACATTAGCATTCCCTCATGTTTCTCCCACATCAGCATGGCCACAATATCAATAGATCTGCCTCTTATCACACGCCTAAGAAAAGTCTCTGAGTACCGAGATATCCCTGCTGTGCAAAAGAAACATTAAAAATATGTATGTTTGTGTTTAGGTGTGTGCGGATTTCATAAAGTAGCTTTAATTTAGAGCGCTGCAAGACCGCACTTCAGCTATTCCATATAATCCTAAATAAACAGGCACAAACGGGGACAGATACATCGATCCGTGCAGGAAAGGAAAAAAAGTTCTGCCAGCTGAAAATGAGAGTTATACTTGCCAATGTGCGCTAAGTTCCTGAACTGACTGTAACTGAGAAGACCGTGCAGGAGATCATGTGCACAAGGAAAAGGGCAAAGGCTGCAATAACGCTGCATCGACCAAGACTAAAAAAGAAATTGTTGAGCTGAACAGGTGAAAGCAGACATGGTGCAAATACTTCTACAGGAATCTGAGAAGCCAAAGACCTTGATTAACCAGCGGATATGATTATTTTTTAATGTGCAGCAAAAGCAGTCAGTTCCCACAAAGCATACAGGCTAAACCCATGACAACAGGTTGATAAGACAGACACATAAAGATCTAAGTATGAAGCCAAATTAAGAAGCACATCCCAAAGGAGACCAAAGTGTGCAGCCAGCAGCTGCTCCCACATGTATGGATATATGGAGCTTTTCTGATGAGTCATCCTCGGCTGCTGTGACAGGTAAACAAATGTCTCATACAGCTGGTTTCCACAGGCGGCGGCGACGATGACGATAAAGTTTAAATGAATTGAAAAGAAAAATCCTGCTTGTATTCCAGCAGCAGATTGTTGCGAGGCTCGGGCCTGCGGAGCGAATCTGTTGCTGCTGGAGTCTGGGCTGTGCCGTCTCTAATAGCTGTGACATTTCTCAGCAGCTCCTTCTGACTAAACTGCACTGCTGCCGATGGGGCGTGTGACTCATACGCCATACAGTGTTCGCTCTGGTCCGCACCCAGTGAACCCCCACTCTCTACACACTGCCTGTCAACACTCAAACACACTCCCCCACCCTCCGCTGCACACCCCCACTCAGCCAGCAGGCAACACCCAGACTGTGTAGACGATCACCACGTTCACAGCGGCCGTCCGGTGGCGTATCCAGAGCGCTGCTGACGCACAGATCTGAGCAAAACTGTCTTAAAACAATATCAGAGCGCCGCACGTGTGTGAGAAGAAGAAAACAGGAGTCCGGACCGATTTATCATCAAGTTTATGACTCACTATTGAGTCATCAAGGTGAAGGACCTAAACCCAACCTTAAATCACAGAAGCCTGTGATAAGGATTAATAACAGCCCACGAGTAACCGAGCATTAAACAGGCAGACATTCTTGTGATGTTACAGATCACGACGCGTCTTTAAAACCGACTTTGATCAGCAGCATCCAGAGGTAAATATTCATTAGCCACCAGCAGAGCCTTATCTTAAACCTCAAAGGTACAGCTACCTTTCTGCAGTTTGTGATTACATTCATCTCCTGCAGTTTTAACTCTCGATTCCAATAATTTGCTAATTGTAGAGACTGATTGGTGATGATTTTCATCAATGAGCATAGAAATATCACGATCAAAGGCATAGAGATGCAAAGCCCCAAGATTTTACTGTTTACCCGCACGTGGAATATATATCAAATCTAATGTTTCACAGAAGGAACTATCTGCACATTCACTGAGAGAGCATGAAAATGTAGTATAGTAAAGAGTTGAAGAAGTAAAGTCTTACCTTTGAACTCCAGGAGCGGTCGAAAGTGAGGATAGAGATGCAGCGTTGCATTCCCCTGCGAAAGAGTTAACAGGACAGTGTTAGAAACAACCCGACGAGACAAACCTGCATTTTTTTTCCCTGCAGTCTTTCCCGCCCCTCTACAACAGAGTCCTCTCTCATCTTGGTGCTTTGCACGAGCTGGTGTGCTGCGGCTCAGCGTGCACGCCTTAGCTCTTCCTGCACATTGGAGATAATCCTTCTACTCTGCAGTCCTACACTCCAAATGTATTATTCATACTCCTACCCTTCACCACATCAGGATATGAACAGAGAGGCAGAGGGAAGGGATATCAGAGACGACCGAGAGAAAGGTGTCTCCCAAGCCTGTTCTCATGCTGCAAAGATGTTTCTGTGTGTGTGTGTGTGTGTGTGTGTGTGTGTGTGTGTGCATACACAACAAAGCCCCTCAGTGGAGCAGCATATAGAATGAGAAATCACCACTGGCTGAGGGAGTGCCTTACATAAATGCCAACATCAAACACCCTGCTTCATCAGCCTTTATGACTGACTGCAGCTTCAGTTCATGTTACTGAAGTCAAACAATCGCAACATCTCCTTGAGTACAAAACTAAAAGGTGATAGCTGAATATAAAAACAAGCTTCTTAACAAATACTGAGAACAAAATTAAAGGATTGCACTGAAGTAAAAGAGTTAACTGTCACAATTTTCCTTTTTAAGCTCTGGCTGGGAAATCTTTTCGTGGCACAGCTGCACATGCCGGCCGTGTCCGCGCTGATCTTACCGTCAGAGATTCTCTTTTGCGTCCACTTGTGATGAAGGTAAACCCCTGCGTTTCGATGGCCACCCCAGTTTTCTGTATGTGCTCTTCAACATACCTAGAAAGATAATAACGCCATCAAAAGTGAGAAAGAGCTAAAGCAACAACGCCTCAATTCTTGCGGAAAGCTACATGTGAGAAAACGCTGCAAAATGATTCTGTTTACAATCAAAGGGAAAATAAACAAATCCTAACATTTTAAGAAGCTCAAACAATGCACTGTTTGAATTTTTGCTTGGTAAATTTGATTTATCCACAAGAAACTAATTTCATTCTTTCATGTTTTAATGTTTAGAATAATTTACCTACCTACCCACCCACCCATCCATCTGTAATAATATAGCTTGTGGCTTGTTTAAAAGGATGTAATTGTGTGATCAGTGGGATATTACAGAATTTGGACATCAAGAGACTAGAGAACAAATGTCAGGTAGAAAAACACTCCTCGAACCAGTTTGCAATCTCTAAGCAGTAATAATCAAAGTGATGACCTTAAGAGCATCTTCAACATTAGCAAAGATGAGTATATAAGAATCTTGAAAGATTTAACAAATTGACAAATATTGCAATAGAAAAAAAATGTCACCTTAACCAATTTGTCAGCAGAAAGCCCCCTCTCTCTAAAATATGTCAGATCAGTTAGAATCAGGGGCAGCGCGGTGGTGCAGTGGTTAGCTCTGCCATTTCACAACATAAAAAGTCCCGAGTTTGAATCTATTGGCCAGCTGGGGCTTGGGTGGGTTCTCTTTGCGTACTGGGGCTTCCACACACAGACCACAGACAAGCATGTTGGGTTACTGATTATTCTAAACTGTCTGTAAAGGAAACAAGGAAGACCACAGAAGATGTACATGGTTGTGTTTGCAACCATGAAACATGTTGGAAGACTTTTATATTTATGCAGTTGTACATTTTATTCATGGTTGGCTGGAGTGACAGAGGGGGATGCTAGGGATAGGGTCGGGAAGGGAGATAATCTGCTTTGGCAACCCCTGAAGGGTCAGGAGGAGGAGAAGGAAGAAAAGGAGGAGAAGAGGAAAATAAGAAGCTTAAGAAGAAGAAGGAGGAAGAGGAAGTTTTTCCCAGATTGTGAAAGGTCCCCAGTTCAAGGACAGGAGGAGACACAAATCCCAGGAAGGCTTGTGTCAGAAAAGACCCTCCTTCTTATGTCTGCACATATTGTTTATATTTGATTCAGTACATATGGTATTTATTAATGGTGATTTGATGCTCTTTCTTTTAGCACGGATGTGGGACAGTACTACAGTGTCATTGTATGCCTCGATCTGCATTTCAAATATGCAGATCCACCCAATGTGGTGACGCGAATAAGGGAGTAGCCTAAAGGTCACTAATCCTACAGCATACATATTTCCTACCCAGCATTTATTCAAAAGAGGACAAAACTTTGATGATGACAAAAGATTTAACTGACATACAAAATAACAAATTACACCTGTTTTTTTCCCCATTTTCTTTTGTAAATCCACACTTCCTGGGGCAAAACTGGGCTGCATTCAAACCACAAAGCGCTTTCAAAAAGTCATGTGTGAACAGGATGTTCTCGACACCAGTCTCTCTTTGAAACATAGAGCAGAGCATGTGATGGTCAGGCAGCGTTATTAGATCACAACAACAATAAGAAGTATCAGTAATACCAGTTAATGAAGGAGCTCTTTCCTGCAGAGTGGTTACCCATTATCATCACGATGATCTTCTTTCTGGGAGGCAGAAGACGGACTCCCAGGCTGCTGGCAATTTTTACCAAGCCTGAAAAACACACACAACACAATCATGACATGCAATGACTAAAGTGGTACCTTTGTACTGTGATGCTCTAGACTGGTTTTAAAATAAAATAATGTAGTTGTGAGTAAATAGTAAGCCTGCACAGATGCATAGTTAATCGTACATGGTTAAAGAGTAGGTAGAGGAAAATTTTACAAAGTGGCAGATGAAATGACTACCACTTGTCCTCCCTCACAACTCTTCTCAGTAAATAAACTGATGCCTGTTGCCTGGCATGACCTCCAAGACAGTTATGCTTAAAGTACAATTCTACTATGTTAAACCTCTGAAGTCTAAGTTACCTGAACCCTAACCCCATGCGATCACAATGTGTATGTTTGTTTTATAAATCAGCCTCCCAAGAATGAACATAAATTCTAAGGTTTTTTCCTCTTTGGAGCAAAAATTTATTTTAGAAATGTAATTCCAATATATCTACTTGATTTTGACATACAATACAAAGGTCTAGAGGCATCTCTCATTTGTTATCTCTCAAGTTATTCTTAAGGAAGGGGAAGAGAGGGCAAAGGTTGACATATAACAAATTATACAAGCCTGTGTTTTTATTTAGCTATTACACTATAATAAGTTTTTTTTTTTAAAGGACACATGGTGATCAAGGTAACTAAAATGAGCTACAGGATTATTCGTGACACCACACCTTTCCAAATGTTTACCTTCTAGAAAACAAGTTGATATTCTCTCTGCTTTTCTCTGCTTGCACCCCAGAAGGGTATAATAATCTCCCATTAATAAAAAGCACACTACAGGAGGCTCTCTTATTAAATTGTTGATTTTTTTAACTGTAATATCTTACAGTATAAGGCCGTCACTATGCGACTGCGGCACTTTAATTATGTTCCTCTTTCTGGGATCAATGAAGTTTCTATGTATCTATGTGTATGTGATTTTGCATCAATGCATACAGTCAGATGGGGCACTGCCCAGCGAGGCTGCAGAGGAGCCTCTGAGATGTTCAACGTCACGTGTTTGACACACACTAGCAGCTGCTGCAGACTGACACACACACTAAACAAGCAGCATTACACCTTTAAGTCCACATAAACTTCAGTCGGGGGCTTCAGCAGTGGCACAGCTCGGTTACCATAATACCACAGCCAGGGCGGGCTGGTTTCTACTTTGCGGTCCTAACTTTGCTTTAGCCTTAATCCAGATTATCGACTGTTTACCGTTTTCGCTGTCCACATACAGATTGTGGCACTCCTTCAGTATCCTCTCACTCGGTGTGGTGATCGCAGACTCCAGAGGGTTTGCCACAGACCGGGGCTTTCTACCCGACATGGTTAACGACGCCAGGGGAACCCGCTTCTCTGCCCTTTCCTACACCACACGGGGAAGGGTTTCAGGGTTGCACAAACACCGTTATGTCCTGAAGAAGCGCTCCCCCTGCGGCCAGACGTCATCATGACATCTGAACACACAGGTGTTAGTATGCCCTGCGTGGCTTTAAATATTATTTAATGATTAGTTTGTATTACTGACCATTGTCCATAGAAATATGACAAAATTGCTGCCATGTTGAATGTCTACAATTAGCTCTCGCCCAGCCCGAACTGCTCCCAAAATGTGGGCCACGGACCCCTGGTGGGCCCCGAATGGTACTACAAGTGGGCGTTAAGAAGTCAATTATTATAAATAGGCTAAATTATAACTGACAAAACTATTATTAAAACTATTACAGTTCAAATCAGTTTTATTCGTGTAATTCCAAATTACAACAATAATTGCCTCAAGGTGCTTTAAATGTAAGGTTAGAGAGGAAACAGCAACAATCAGATAACCCCTGATGAGGAAGCACTCGGCCAGAATGAGAAAGAAAAAACACACTTTTAGCAGGAAGAAAACTCCTGCAGAACCAGTTCAGTTTCTGGTGCAACCAACTCAGAGTAAGGGTAGAGAGAAAATACAAAGAGGGTACGGGGAGACAGGACAAAACACAGATTGTGGGGGATAAAAGACACAATTCAATGGCATGCAGTAGTGTATGAACACCTGGGGAATGAAAAGTGAAGAAGAAATGCTCAGTGTATCAAAGGTATAAGCAGTCTGACCTTATAGCAGCATAACTAAGGAATGGTTGAGGGTCACCTGATTCACCCCTATCTTTATCAAAAAGTTTAAGTCAAGTGATGAGGTTAGGGGTTTCCCTCCGGTCCATGAAAATCATGGAAATCATGGACTGGTACTTATATCACACTTTTCTACCCTAACTGAGCACTCAGATAGAGTGCTCACATTCATGCACCACTTTATTCCATGCCTTGCACACATTCACACTCCAATGAGGGGACAGTTTGGGGTTCAGTAGTGTAACAGTTACTATCGTAATGCAGTGTATCACCACATGGCGGCGCCTCCTGTCTCACGACTGGTGTCACCCCCTTTTTGTTCTTCTTCGCACTCCTCCTGTAATGGATGCTCCCGTGTGTACGCGGACTAGTGTGCTCTTTAGTAATGTGTGGTAGAGGTAGCACTTTTATTTTTGATATTGTAAATAAATGAGTACTTTTTGGAAAGTCAGAAGCTGTTGCTCATTCGCTATCCACCTGCACACCTCCGCGGCTGGCTTCATCTCCACCGCACGTTACAGTAGGATACTTCAACAAGCTGACTGAAGGACCCAGGGATCAAACATTGACCTTTTAGTTTGTAACTCTACCTGCTGCACCTCCTTGTTAAGCATCATACAAGTTTTACAATTTTTTATACATTTTTCATAAACAGTAAAAATGACACGTTTTTTGTGTCCTGAATAGATCAGCCTGAGGGACACTGTGCTCTGCTGCGTCTGTAGTATAGAGTGGAGCTGGTGCAATAGAATGTCCATTGAATAGATAGAATAGAATCGCCCTTTATTGTCATTGTACATGTACAACGAAATGGTAAAAACTTTGTGGAAACAGCGCTGTCACAGCATCAGCTGAATGAATGATCTTTTGCGTCATTGTTTCATAAATGTGGTCAGTACCATATTTATCAAAGATCAAACATTTTTTTATTTGTTTTGTACTACAAGTAACTTCAGTGGGTTTTATTTGAATAAGCTTTAAGCTGTGTCACACGAGAGTATTCATTTTTTTTCTGTCTCTGTTTTAACGTTGATCAACAAATCATCACTACAGACTGAAACTAAAGCTGAGCTGTACATTTTGAAAAAAATATCCACTGTTAACTCTATTTGAGATTTCCATTTTTAGAGTCTCAAAAGTTCTCACGGGATTAAAACGTTTTTTGTTTTTTGTTTTTGTGGTAAGCTACAGAACTCTTTGAATGATTTACAAATTTAAGAGCGCAGCGACCTTGGAAATAAAATCAGTGTCAACGTTTTAGAAATTATTTGTTTTATCACTTTTATCCAAAGTAATTCAAACCCAAATATGTATTTACCAAGGAGGCAGTCATCCATGGAAAATAGAATCCAATTTTATGGAACTACAAATTAGCAGATGACATCTTCTGCTACCTGAACAATAAATTTGTGTTATCATCTTTGAATATAGTGAGAACCTATTGTACTATTTTTTTTCTCGTGACCACAATACATGAACCAAACTAAAAAAAAAAGTCACATGACAGTTGAAACAAGCTGTAAGTGTGAAGTGTGTAACACAAAGTGAATATTATTTTAATATTTGGGTTAACAAGCCTTCTTTTACCCGAGAGCAAGCTTCACCATGCAGCAGGAATGTGCCTCAACCTCTTAATCAGCCTCTACGCTGAGCCGAGGTCATGTGCTGCACCTTACAGTAGGCAGCTACTTTGTCAGAACTTGGATTCAAGTGCAAAATTTAGTCTTTGTAAATGGTTTCTGCGAGCATAACTTTACGGCAGCTTTCAAAATGAACGCGGATGAGGGACGTGCGGAATCAAGGAAAGAGGTGAGTCATACATGGGTTTAGAACCAATGAGGGCTGTTAGAAAGAAAAAAAAGAATAAAGAAAAAAATAAAATAAAAGAAATTATTTTAGAATATTTGCAGGGTTTTTTTTTTGTTTCTTTTTGTTTTTCTTGTTTTTTGTTCGTTTTGGGGTTTTTCTTTTTTAAAAAATAATTCCTGGGTTCAGACGTCTTTCCTCAAATGACTAAAGAGAGCCAGTCACGAGGCAAAGTCGTGAAGAAAAACGTTAAATTCAATAAAACGTAGCTAGTGTCTGTGGAGGATGCGAGCTGTAACCCGTAGTTTAATAATTTTAATCCTAAATAAATGTCATTTATATTTTAAATCCTAAATAAATATTTAAATTCTAAAAGCGCGTGGTTTTGGGTTGCCAGATTGACAAAAATCCGTTTAAAGTACTTGGTATTGATATGTATTATAACTGCAGTTCGGATTGTTGTATACAGAATGTCTTAAATTATGAATATTTATTATCAGCTTTATTAAACTGCTAATGAATTGCTCTTTATAAACATTTCCGGGCATCCCTCCTCTGACGGAGACTGGAGTCCTTATGATGGAAAAGACAGCAGCCACAAAAACTTTGCACCATGGCCGGCCCAGATTGCTCTCCACAGTTAATCCATCCAGCGGCTGCAGTTATTCAAAAAACTTCACCAACTGCTTTTCTATACTTGAACTATAGGGGGAGTCCGCACATAGCATCTTTACTGCTGAGCGCATAGCCTAGGACATATGTTACGGCATAACTATGGATTTTTTTTTCTCAGCCTTTTAAAATGTGAATGTGGTACTGCATACTGCCTGTAGGCATGCATCACACTTCCATGGCATCAAACCTGTGAGCTATGCAAGTCTTTAAAAACAGAAAAAAGAAAAGAAACCAAAATATATTAAAATAGGTGCACATTGTGCTACTCTTTGTGAAACATGTTTTCGGTAGACCAAAATCATAATGCTATGTAACTCCCCTATGTGTGGATCCTGAAATACTTTTCTTCTTTTATGTGAAAGTAATTAAACTACACTGTATGCTGTGTTTGGATTCAGTTAGTGCGCCATGAACTTTGAATAAACATGGAATAATTTAGCCAATTCCCCACACCCTAAGGACACTTTCTGACAACAGATCAATTGTATTATCCCCGGCATAAACTCATCCCCCCATCCGCTTTAAGTTTCCTGTTGGATGCAAGCTCCTGCGAGAAGGATACTCTGATATTCTGCTCTCCCTCAAAGAATCCAGGACTTTAAGCAAAATATAAAACATGCCAAAAGAATACAAGAATGAATATCAGCCTCTTCTAGCTAAAGCAACCAAAGATAGAAGGCGGCCAAAGGTAAGTGGATTGTAATGGATTAAGGGTTTTGAAAAATAAAAGTACGTTTGGCAGCATGGTGGGACGCAGCTTTCTGTCCAAGATGATATTGAAACACTTTTGTTTGTGGGTCTGTTTTTCTGTTTGCAGCTTCCAAACAAATCACTTCTGCTGGCTGTGTGTGCTGCTGGCATCGGGGGGACCTTTCAGTATGGATATAATATATCTGTCATCAATGCGCCCACAGCGGTAATAATTCTGCTGCCTCTCACTGGACTTTTTCCATAACTATTGATCTAAATGATCAAAACACGGTCTGAGGGCAAACTTAGTAACACGTGGACTACAGTCACTGTTTTTGTTATTCTGATATTAGAGAACACGCACACACAAACACATAACACATAATTTGTTCTAACAAGCACAGGCGGTCTAATGATCGCCAAGTACAGTGATGTTATTCAGTGACAAAAAAGTAGACTGATAATAAGAATAGTGGCAGTATTTAGACATTGCTTTGCACTCGTGTTGATAAAAAACAGTGTTTGTGTTCAATTTTCTTCTTTTCTCTCCAGTACGTGCAAGATTTCATCAACCAAACCTGGAGTGAGCGTTACCAAACTCAAATATCAGATGATGGTCTCACCCTCCTCTGGTCCACTATCGTGTCCATATTCACTTTAGGAGGACTTATAGGGGCAATGATTGGTGGAACATTGTCTGTGAGGGTCGGAAGGTATGGACATGTTTGTTTTTTTATTTTTAATGAAAAATTGTCTTCTCTTTTATAAATAATGGGATTCATTTTTTCTTTCCAGAAAAGGGACACTGCTGACCAATAACATATTTGCACTCCTGGCTGCTTTGCTGATGGGTCTGAGTTATCCTACAGGGTTATTTGAATTACTCATCATCGGACGTTTCATCTCTGGATTAAATGCAGGTGAGTACATCAGGAACACTTAAATGTTTTGTTTCTAAATCTTGGAGAAACACAGATACATGAATTAGATGTCCAGTTAATAATGGCTAATAATGATGCTGCATGAAAACCTTCTGAAATGTCTTTTAAATATTTTTATAGGCATTGCCATTTGTGTTCAACCTCTATATTTGGGAGAAATAGCTCCGACTTCACTGCGTGGTGCTATGGGAATGGGAACCTCAATTTTCATTACTGGGGGGATCTTTACCGGACAAGTGATTGGCCTCAGGTGATGAATAAACACATTAAGAAGAAGAACTTTTCACACAGTTCCAATGCTACATCCCTTCAAAGAAAATATCAAGCTGAAGTCCTTGTACAATTATACAGAGAGCTCCTGGGGAAAGAGGAGTACTGGCCCATCCTGCTCTCCACCACCTGTATCCCAGCTTTTCTGCAGCTCCTGATCCTGCCCTGGTTCCCTGAGAGCCCACGCTATCTGCTCATCGACAAAGGGGATGAAGAGGGTTGTAAGAAAGGTAAAACAGCTGCACCGTTCCTTCCATTTCAGATCGCTGGGAATTGTGTTCTTCCAGGAAAGACGACTTAGTGCATGTGACAGCGTAAATAAAAAAATGTATAAAGACTACCCTTTGGCAGAAATAACCAGAGGCAGAGACATTTATCTTTTCATTTCAAGCATGTGATGAATTTCTGACGGTGGAAACCTTCTGACAGGACACCCCCCCAAACAGCAAACAGCCACCGCAGATTAGTCAGATATGAAGGAAGTGCAATAACTTGAAGTCCTGTGTGTCTTATGTGTCTGCAGCCCTGAAGCAGCTGCACGGTATAGCTGATTGTGACAGTGAACAAGAGGATATTGAGAAGGAGAGGAATAGCTTATCAGGTTTACAGGCCAAGAAACCCTGGGAGCTCTTTGCTGATCGCTCTTTACGCTGGCAAGTTCTCACCATCATGGTGCTCAACGCTGCACAACAGCTGAACGGCATCAATGCTGTACGTACGACCACTTTAAAAAGTTCACACAAAGATGAAAAAGGAGTTTCCAAAGAACTGAAAGTTATGGTTTTGTGTTTGTTTCTTTATTTGTTTTCTACACTCCCTGTAGATTTACTTCTACGCAGGTTACGTGTTCAAACAGTCTGGTATTCCCAGTGATAAGATACCATACGCCACTGTCGGCACTGGTGCCTGTGAATGCATCACCGCTTTAACATGTGTAAGTATGAGTTTCTCGTCATGTATTTTCAAGTATTGTTTTTAGTATTTGGATGAAAATCCACTGCAACTGCTTGAAGTTTAGAACCCACAGACATCACCAGATCTCCTCCCTTGAGATGTTCCCCTGGCTTTTACTGCATCCATCTTCAGTCGCTGCTAGTTTGTGGGTCTACCTGCATTCAGTTTTTTATTTAAGAACTAAAAAATCATGCTCTGGTGGATTGAAATCAGGTGACTGGCTTGGTCATTGAAGGATATCCCATTTATTTGCCTCAGACAAACTCTTTGCAGTATGCTTTGGATCATTATCCATTTTAACAGAAATTATAGCTGTGCAAACTTCTGGTGTCATTGTGCTACTTCTATCAGCAGTCACATAATCAGTAAACATTACAATGCTGTTCAGCCATGCATGCCTATGCATTAGGCCTCCACCATGTCTGACAGATAGCATTTCATGCTTCAGATCACGAGCAGATTTTCTCCTTCGCCATGCTTTTCTCTTCCAATCAGTTGGGCTTCTGTGTTTCATCTACCCAAAGAATCTATTTCAGTACTGTACATGTCGAATCTTCTTCTTGTTCTTGAGTGTAACCAGTGGTTTGCGCCTCGTTGTCAGCCTTCTGTATTTCCATTCATAAAGACATCTCTTTATTGTAGACCTTCACTAGTTTTTTTTATGTTTACACAGATATGTTCTAAAAACCCAATAAACTCAATAGATTTAAGTGTAGATGAATGTATTTTGGGATCATTTTTTACCTAACTCTGACTTCAAAAAAAATTCCAGTCCCTTTACACTGAGGGTGCCAAACATAAGGCCCGGGGGCCAGAATTGGCCCAATAGATAAACAATTAAATAACAAGAAAGTTCCTGTTTTTTCACTACCTACTATAGAAATGCTCGCAAAAATGAAAACTAGATATGTTTTAATTATATGACATGAACCACCAGAGCTTTTTCTGTAATTTTACACATTTATTGTGTAGTTTTAATGCTCTGACCCATTTAAGATCAAAGTGAGCTGTATGCATCATCCCTGCCCTACACAGTTATTGTGTGTTAATCTGAGTGTATTCACCTTATAAGTATGACTCAAAGCATAAGCTGACTTGAAGTCCTTTTTATGAGATCTCTGCTTCCAGTTTAACTCAGGATATACAAATATCATAAAACTCTAATGTGACATTTTTTTTCTACGAATTTCTTTGTCATTGCTATTGCTTGGGGTGCTTGTGGTGGTCTGTGAAGTGAAATTTACTCTTATAAAACTTCTTCTTGTTTACAGATAAGTTTTCTTTATAGACTAAATGTATGCCTCACTTATTCATAATGCATGATGACGTCAGAGGTTAGAAGATACAGATCTTACACTTTTTAAGCCCAAAGCCTTTAAAAGTAACATTTGCTTTTCCTGGGGTGAAGGACTGCTTACCCATTACTGGACTAATATGTGACAAAGAATCCAACTGGTAAACCCAAAACAATGTGTGCAATGGTCCGAATATTAATATACTTTTACAATTATTTTTACTGAGTCAGATTATGAATACAAGGGAGTTTTAGACTATAAGATTTCATGCAAGCCCACTCAGGACTATCATTTGTTAAAAAATAAGTCACAATAGACCTCAGCTTTGCAGTGCAATAACTTCGGCTTACTCTACCGAGGAGGCAGGATCTCCTGAAGCAAGCTGAGTTTTGCCAGGTGAGACAGCACATCTGAAGTGAACTATCTTCTCCCGGGTGTCATGTGTCTCATGTGACCAAGTCCAGCTCCTGACACTGTTCAGAGTTTATGTGTGAAATGGCTTTAGTTGTGCATACTTGTATTTATAATCTATCTTAACTGGAAAATACTTGAACTTTAGTTTCAAATTTTTCTTTTTGTTTCAGCAAACACAGAAATAATGATCCTCTATGACACTTACAGCAATCTTAAAATCACAAGATGAGACCTTTCAAATATCGCTTCCAAGCGATGAACTGTCAGAGGCGGAAGAATTTCAAGACGTTTGTGTAAGATGGCTGGAAATAGAACATGAAATGGATCAGAGTAATCCTCAAAAGAGATGTTTGCCTGGAGTCTTTCTGGTCTTGTGACATGCTGTGTGTCTCACAGGGTATGCTCATTGACCGTCTGGGAAGGAAAGTACTCATCATGGGAGGATACACACTGATGGCTATCTGCTGCGTTTTATTCACGCTGACCCTAACTTTTCAGGTAATTATCGTCAGGCCAAGAAATCTTTTTAAAAAGAGATATTTAAGGGTTTAAGCCCTATGTGGTGTTCATGCTTTCGTTACCCTGGTTGCATCACATATGGAGGTGTTTCAGTCCTTGGACAAGTAAACTATGCAATTTAACCATTTTTGGCATCCATATTTCTCCCTGTGTTGGCCGCTGGTAAGCTTATTTTGGAGATGACTAAAGGTCAGCCTCGTGCTTACTGTCAGACTCTGTCAGGTGAGCACTGTCAGAGTGCTCACCTGACAGCGAGTGACCTGTGTGCTAAAGGCTAGAGTTATCACTGCAGAGTTTGAGTCTGTCCCGTCGTTCCTTCCTGTCTGCACCATCACATCTGATAAAACTCAACTGTTTCTCTGCATCATCTTCCAAAACTGACTCATCTAAAAGTGCTAAGCATAGAATGAGTTCATGACCAATACGCAGCCACACAGGTCAAGCTATTTGTATTTGTTGTGCCCCACCCTCGATATGCAGCCTGGGATGGAGCGTGAGAAACTACATTGTGGTTCCCACAACCCAGAGGTTAAAATGTGCAGGAAAAGCAGGAGCACAAACGCATACACACTAAAAACACACCTGAACACACATGCTTAATATGAATGTGCAGGGTTGCTCTATGAAGTTTTATTGTATGCATTCTTTGCAGAAAATGAGCCAAAGGCAAAAAGTCTGAAGAAACAATCAAAATTACATATTTTTTCTTTTGGTAAATACTGAAAACGGGTCCAACAGACCTGAACGCCACACAGAGGTTAAGGCATGTCCCTACCTGTGTTATAACGTTTCTTTTGCACAACTTCCTTGTTCTCAGGAGGCGAGCCCAGTTGTTCCATACCTCAGCATGGTCTGTGTTTTTGCTTTCATCTTAAGTTTTGGCTTAGGACCAGGTAAAAATGTTCTTTCTTTCACCGAAGCATGTGCATCATCAGCTGCGTCTGCACATCAGCTGTAACAGGGATTTCTTCTGTGTTTTCCCCCATGAAGGTGGCGTGACTAACATCTTAACAACTGAGCTGTTCACGCAAAACTCGCGCCCTGCAGCGTACATGCTTGCAGGGTCAGTGAACTGGTCCAGTTTCTTCTTCATTGGCCTGGTCTTCCCCTTCATTGTGGTAGGTGTTCAAATGGTTGAGGATCTATGATCATTTTGGAATATTTTATCACCATTTCTTGCATTTAAAATGAACATTTAAACCTCGATGTTGTACTTGGAAATGTTCCACTCACTTGTTTTATTTTTTACAGCTCGGACTGAAGCAGTACTGTTTCCTGGTGTTCTTGGTTATCTGCTGCTTGGTGATAATATATATCTTCCTTGTTGTCCCTGAAACCAAGAACAAAACCTTTCTGGAAATCCAGAACGAGTTCCAGTCTTCCAAAAAGAGGCAGATCGGCTGTTTGGATGGAGCAGGGACAATACTGTTGTCAACTTCAATATGAAATGTGCTTCGTTAAACAGGGTTATTTAATCAGTGATTCTTTATGTCACCCAATATTTATCACACAAATCTGAAATATTTATAGCGAACACGTGAGATAACTTCCTGAGACCCAGGTTCATGTTTGGGATGCAATTTGTAATTTTGCCCTGTTATTTTTGATTAGTTGGACATAAACTAAGTTTTCTCTTTGAGCAGGGAGTTGTTACTTTATTACAAAGCTGTTACATACTTTTTTTTTATCAAGTCCTAATATTGGGATAATCAGGTCATTTTACAGCACAATACAATAAAGTCAACACGGCTTAACAACGTATAAAACACAGCTGAGCAGAATGAAGAATAAGGTGCAGAACAGCAAAATGAAATACGCAAATATGATGATGCAGGGTCTCAGGTTAACATTCTCATCAGCCACTTTGTTAGGTACACCCACTACCTCTAATCAGCCAATCATGTAACAGCAACTCATTTAAACGTGCAGACATGATCAAGATGACCTGCTGACGTTCAATCTGAGCATCAGAATGAACATTTAAGTGACTTTGAAAGTGGCAAAAAATTGGTGCTAGACAAGCTGGTCAGAATATTTTACAAACTGCTGATCTACTGGGATTGTCTCAAACAACCATCTCTTCACAGAGAATGGTCTGAAAAAACTTCTGATGCCAGAGGTCAAAAGAGAATGGGCAGACTGCTTTGAGCCGATAGGAAGGAAACAGTAACTTAAATAACCAGTCGTTACAACAAGGCACAGAAAAGGATGACATGTTGAACCATTACACCCAGAAAACCACACCAGGTACCACTACTGTCAGCTGACAACGGGAACCTGATGCCACAAATTCATATGGCTCACCAAAATTGGACAACAGAAGAATGGAAAAATGTTCTCTGGTCTGAAGAGTCTGAGATTCTGTGGCAATATTCAGACGGTAGGATTAGAATTTTAGGGGTTATATTAAGGCTGGTGGCGATGTGGGGATATTTTCTTGGCACACATTGTTTAAACCCCACAGCCTACCTGACAGCTGTTGCTGACCATTTCCTTCCTTTCGTGACCACAGTGTATCCATCTGCTAAAGGTGGTTCTGCCCAGTGGGATCAAAGTGTACCTAAAAGTTTCTGGTGGGAGTATGTTGCTTAATAATGAATAGTGCTGTAAACTATAGTTCCTTTTTAGATCTTCTAGGTAGTTGTGATTGTGTCTCTTTAGCCCAACTAATACTGAAGAAGTAATCTTTATATATAATATGTTGGTATAATAAAGGCTGGTTTGTGTAACTTTTAAAGCCAGGTCTCCCTTGTAAAAGAGACCTTTAATTTCAATGGGAATAACCTGGTTAAATAAAGATTAAAATAAAAAATAAAAGGTGCTCCTCTGAGAATTTTCAATAAAGACCAGTTTAAATAAAAACGTTTCATCATTTGTGAACTTTGCTTGGCATTTCAGCTGCTTAATATTTCAGTTTCCAATCTTTCAGCATGACATTTGATCAGGAGAACAAAGAGTTCACTCTACAGTTTGTCATGCATCACATGAATAAAAAAAGTATCAGAGTGAAAAAGAGTGAAAAAGTATTAGAAGTATTAATATTTGTTTATAGTATTACTCAGAGAGAAAATATATTGAATATATAAAAAAAGAAATATGTATAAGAAGAGATGCCGTCATTGATTAGTTAGTTACATGGTTGTTAGTTACAGCAAGTTACATGGTTGCTTAGTAATGGTACCTACCACATAAACCAATGACACTGCTTAAAGTGGTATAATTCTGTATCATTGAGGAGAAGGATAATTAAATTCAAATGTGGTCAGATGTACAGGGAAATGGCAATGGCTTGCTTTTTAACCACAGTTATGTCACTGAGTACTCATGTTAGTTCTGATTCCCATTTCTACAGATACCTTAAACCCAGAACCAAGAACAACAGCTCCTTTTCCTTTTTCTTTGTTCCAGCTGTCATAACATCTTCATTAAAAGTGTAAAATTAAAATATAATCAAAGCTTATAATGTAAAAAAAAACACCTGAAAAAACCACTGAGTTTCTTGAAGTTGAAGGAAATATAATGTGTGCGAAGAGCATGAAAATTCAGCCCCAAAGATCCAACCAGCTCCAGCTGCTTAGCAATCCAACTAACTCCTGATTTAGATGATACGCTTCGCTTAGCAGAAAAATGTAGGCAGCCAAGTTTTTTTTTCTTTTGTTTTAAACAATAAGCTACTGATTTTAAACAGCAAGTCGTCATCTCAGCAGGAAGCAAAGACCATACACAGCCAGATTAACCTGCAAGGCATGTGTAAGCTGCAGGCCCTGGTTGAACCTCCCTTCTTTCTGTTCTCCACACACTCTCCACCCTGCCGCCTTTAAGCCAGCTTCAAATACAGTTAATAGACTGTGTTTGGAGCTTAAGGTAGTTTTTCTAGCTGCAGGAACACCACAGTTGGGCTGCAGTATGCATGACTGCAACTCACAGTACAATGTAAGAAAAAGCAACATACAACATAAAGAAATGGTTTGCAAGCTTCATAACATCAAGAAACACAACGAAGACTTGCAAGTAAGGCTTGATGAAGCTCTGGAAAAAAATAAAGAGATCCTCCAAGAGAGAGAACAGCAGGACATCGAGCCAAGAGACATGCAGTGCAAACTCCAAGGCATGGAAGAAAAATACAGAGCGCTGCATGTAAAGCATAATAATAAAAAAAACTGCACAAAAATCAATCGTTGCTTCAAGAGAAGAAGCAACTGGACATAAAACAGAAAGAAATGGACTCCAAGCTTGAAGACATGGAAGAAAAATGCAGAGTGCTGCAAATAAGGCTCGATAAAACACTGCAGAGAAATAAAGCATTTGTTCAAGAGAAAGATCAGCAGGACATAAAAGATGCAATGTAAACTTGAAGACATGGAGGAAAAATACAAAATGCTCCAAATAACTCTGAATGAAACCCTGCTCCAAAATCAAGAGTTGCTTCAAGAGAAGGAGCAACAGGACATACAACAGAAAGAAGAAAAACTTATTCTCCAGAGGAAAAATCAAAAACTCCAAGAATTTTATAATGAAATAAAGTACCAAATAACTGAACTGGAAGCCGAAAAGAAAAAAATGGAAAAACAATGCTCAGCGATGCATAGTATCAATGAAAGGTTTTGCAAAAGCAACAACAACAGAAAACACATGAAGACCTGCAGTGTACACTTCAAGAAAGCCAGCACCACACCTTTCAGTCACAATTTATTCGTTTTCCAGATGTTAACTTGTCATATTTTAGTAATACTTGAACAGCTGTTATAGTTACATGTTTTCATATCATATATAACATCAGTTTTTTTAATGTGTTTTTGATATGATTATTAGAACACCCAGTTAAATATTGTTTGATTATATACGCAGTAACCATTCCCGACCACAGGGTGGCGTTTATTCACTGATACGGTTACTATCAGCCGAAGAAGAAGAAGCCCCTCCCACTCAAGATGGCGAGCTAGAGGTTCTTGTCCACGCTGTTTTTGTTGACAAGTTATATAAAGCCGTTTTACGCGTTAACAGTGGAATTACACCTTCTGTCGTGATGTCGAGACTCATCGTTAAAAACCTCCCTAATGGGGTAAGTAAACAGCCCGCTCGCATGTGAACACAAAGCGAGAGCAGCCTTTAATTTGAGCCCAGCTAAATTTCACTGTTCTCTGTGCAGATGAAGGAGGACAGATTCAGGTCGATGTTTGCTGCCTTTGGCACTTTGACAGACTGCTCGCTGAAATTTACCAAAGACGGCAAGTTCCGTAAGTTCGGCTTTGTCGGTTTTAAATCCGAGGAGGATGCAAACAAGGCCCTGAAGCATTTCAATAAGAGCTTCGTGGACACATCCAGAGTGACGGTATGGCCTCAGCCGCACACAGTCTGTGCCTCGAGAGGGAACGCGCGCATGCTTGATGGTTTACCTGTCCTTTATTCTAGGTGGAGATGTGTAAGGCGTTTGGAGACCCCAGTAAGGCAAGAGCCTGGAGTAAACACACTCAGAGCTCAGGGCAGGGCAAACCCTCTGCTCTGGCCGACACTGATGGCAAAAAGGTAGGAAAGACCTGTGGACGGGAAATAACAGTATTTGTAAACTGACACTCTGTAATTACAGAGGTCGTACTTGTATATAAAACTTACCATATATCTTTATAATTCATTCTTCCCTCTGTATATCATAATTTTTTGCTGCCTTACCAGAGAATAATATAAGTATGTTTTCATAGAATTTGTGTTTTTAATGCAATAGTGTGTGTGTGTGTGTGTGTGTGTGTGTGTGTGTGTGTGTGTGTTTGAATTTTAGAAGAAGAAGCAGAAAAAGGAATCCAGCAGTATTCTGGGAGATGTAAGTAAATTATAAATTGAGATGTTGGTCGGGAGATGGGTGCAAGCTTTGGGAAAAATGCTCAGACCTGCCATGTCATGTTCAAAATCACTTAAATCACCGTTCCTCTTTATTAAGATGCTCAGTCTGATGTTCAGCGGGTTATGGGTAGGATTTCCAGTACACTGACCGGTGCCTCACTGATTTGCTGATTAGATATGTGGGTAAATTAGCAGTTGAACAGGTGTACCCAATGAAGTGGCCTGTGAGAGTACAATTTTTTTTAATTTTTTTTGCCTAACTCATCAGTTTTTGTATGATGTAACACTTAATATTTGGACATCGGCTCATATCTCATTTCAGCTGGAAGAGGAAGCAGAATTCAAGGAGTTTCTGTCAGTGCATCAGAATCGAAGCCAAGCTCCGACCTGGGCAAACGACACTGCACAGGAAGCACCCGATCCCGACAAGAAGAAGAAGACGACTCAAAGCAAGAAGAAACCTGCTTCAGATGATTACCTCAACTTTGACTCAGACCAGTCAGAAGAAGACAAAGAGGATGAGGAAGAAGAAAATGATGAGAGTGAGGATGAAGGTTGGTAGTGGTTGTGTTTTAATTTTGGGGTTACATCAACATCAAATACTGAAATTTATATCAGAGAAATATTGTTCTAAAGTACACACAGAAAATCAGATTAAACTATATTAGAAAATATTCATCCAGGTTCAGTGAATTATTGTTAATTGTTTGCTATGCTGTTGATTCCAGATGCCACTAAAGAAGCACTGAAGTCTGGCTTATCAGATATGGACTACCTGCGGTCAAAGGTGGCACAAACAGCAGACACGGAGGAGGAGGAAGAAGAGGATGATGATGGTCCTTTACAGCACACAGACAGTGACTACGAGAGTGGAGACAGGGAAAACATCTCAAAGGTCAAATCTTCAGTGACCTCTGAGGAAAAGGACCAGAGTAAAGTGAAGAAACCTGCCAAGCAGGAGGTGACTCTTCTATCAGAAGCCGTTTTAAATTTTTACATTCTGTCATTGTTACTAGTTTGTAGTGATTCACACCAACCCCTGTGTATTTACTACAGACGGAGGCAACAACAGAGTTCACAGTGAAGCTGAGAGGAGTCCCGTTCAATGTTAAAGAGGTGAGCGAACAAGAAACTTCTCAGTGTCGGCACTGAAATGTTCACTGTATCACTCTGAATCTGTGACGCTAACATTGTTTCCTGTAACACCACTAGAAACAAATTAGAGAATTTATGACTCCACTGAAGCCTGCAGCAGTCCGGATTGGGAAGAACGAAAGCGGAAATAGAACAGGTGTGATAGTAAAAGTATTTAAAGTTTCTCATTTTGCAGCAGTCACCCACATATGCTGTATTCAGTGGCTTGAGAAAATATAATTGCCCACTTCATGATTTCTTTTCTTTTTTTTTTTTTTTTTTATTTTTTGTATATTTGTCACATTTGCATGTTTCAAATCATCAAATTCATTTTAATATTAGCTAAAGAGAATCCAGATAAATACAAAATGCAGTTTTTAAATAATGATTTAATTTTTTTAAGGGAAAGAGCCCATACAACCCTTCCTGGTCCTAAGTGAAATTTTTATTCTCCCCTTCTTAAACCATGAATTATTCACCTTTTTTTTAAAAAAAAGCTGATAGCAGTCACACACAGACCTGATTACTGAATCTAAAGAAAGAGATTAAAAAACACAGACATCAATCAGTCTGCAAGTTACCAAGCCATTTCTAATACCGTGGGACTCCAGTGAAACCCAGTGAGAGCCATTATCCTCAAATGGAGAAAACATGCAACAGTGAGAAACGTCCTGGGAGTGGCCGGCCTTCCTAAATGACTTCCAAGAGCACATTGATTGGTCATCCAGGAGGTCACAAAAGAGCCTAGAACAACATCTACAGAACTGCAGGCCTGACTTGTCTCAGTTAAGGTCAAAGTTCATGATTCAACACTAAGAAAATGGCATACATAGTAGAGTCCAAGGAGAAAACCACTGCCACTCGTCTGACATCTGCCAAAATATTTCTTGATGATCCCCAAGACCTTTGG